CCTTGGCCTCACCCGGGCCACAGAAAGCAATTTCTTAAAGCTCTGCTCTCCGCCAACGAGGCCGAAGATTAATTACAGCCATAAACGCAAGGGGCGCCGCGTAAATATTTCATAGACGCGAGGGTGCGCTTGCGCGCGCACGTAGCCTGCAGGCTGCTCCTTCCCGGTCCGGTCTCCTCCTTCCTGGTTGGGTCCGTTGTTTTTCTTTAAAGGAAACCTCAGGAAGCTGGGCGTGGTGGCGCACACCTTTCATCCACGCACTCAGAGGAGGCTGAGGCAGGAGGGTCAGCGGCAATTCCAGGCCAGCGTGGGTGACATAGTGAGACCCTGTCTCAATAAAATGAAATACAGTAAAATAAAGGAAGCTGCAAGTATGGAGCAGGGAAGCCGCTCTGAGCCTCCTCTTCTCTTGCCTGGGGTCGGCTTCAGGGCTCTGATGTGGGGGAGGGCGTGGGGACTGACTGCTCTCCTAGGGAGACCCGGGGCCCTGTGTCCCTACAGAACTGACACGTTCCTGGGAGGAAGGCTTGGGTTTTAAACCCAGATCTAGGATGGATCAGAGAGGTCTGAATCTGGTTCGGCCTCTGACACGTCCCGGCTGTATGAAGTCAGGAAGTATGAACGGCTTGACCTCTCTGGGCCGTGGTTTCTGCTGCACAAAATGAGGATCACACTCTCAGCTGAGACTGGGGGGCACAGCGCAGCCTAATGTAGATCTAAAATCCTTCCAGAGGAGACTGAACCCAGGGCCTTCACACTGAGCTCCGTCCCCAGGCCTTTTTCTGTTTTTGACTTTGAGACAGGGTCTTGCCAAGTTGCTGAATGGCCCCCCGCTGGACTCAAACTTAAATTCCTCCTGCCTCAGCCTCCCAGAGTGCTGGGATGACAGGCCTGCCCACCACCCCCAACCAGAACCCTTATTTCTTATTCTCTCATCTTTGCACTTTACATAAGGAGGCTCAAAGCTGTGCAACGGTGGGGACCCTAGCGGGATGGAGCTGGAGGAACCCAGGGACGTTTCCACGATCACGAGGCCAGTGTGGAAACTGAGGCCCAGAGAGGCAGCAGGGCGGACCGGCAGGCCTCAGAGGAGCTGACACCCCGGTCACGTCGCTGCCGGTCCTGGCCGCCGCGAGCCACCTGCCTGCAGTTCAGCAGCTGTGACAGCGTCTGGGCTGCGGCGGCGATGCTGGCACTGTCACCTCCCAGGCCCGCAGTGACGGATGGTCGGAGGGAGCCAGAGTCGGCGCCCAGCTGGCCGCGTCCTCCTGCAGTTTCAGGGGACAGCTGCAGACGCTCAGTGACCCCAGAGGACAAAGAGACCCCGACTCCAGGAAGCTTTCCAGGCGCTGGGCCAGGAAGCGCCCAGCGCCGTGCAGGAGCAGAGGGAGCTGGAGCCGAGGGAGGAGGCGCAGAGCGGGAGAAGGGGCGGCCGTGCAGGGCCTCGCGCGCTGCAGGGGGACGGGGGCTTTGGCCCCAGGGAGGCGGGAGCTCTGGAGGGCTGAGGGCAGAGGCAGGAAGGACGACACTCAATGCTTGCGGCGCCCCCTGATGGCCGCTGCGGGGAGGACAGCCGGGGGGCGGTGGACTGGAAGGTGGAGGCAGGGCAGGGATGGCCTGGTGGGCTAGGAAGTCTGCTCTGAGAGCTCAGCTCTGAGTTGCAGGTGAGGGAGGAGCAACCTGAGGTCTTGGGTCGGACAGGGCCTCCAGGAGAACGCACAGCTGGTGCAAGGGCCCTGGGGCAAGAGGATGCAGCTTCTGGACCTCTCCGGACTCTGGGGGCCACAGTGAGAATTTCCATGTTGGTCTGAGGCACTGGGGAGCCATGGCCTGTTGTAGAGCAGGGGAGAGGCGCAGTAGGAGGCATGAAGCTGCACAGCCTCCCCCAAAGACACCCTCATCCCAGCTATGGAATAGATTGGCCTCTGTAGTAGTTGAACAGGGTCCCCCCTCCCCCTCACTCAAGTCCGTCCAGAAGCCCAGGAGTCTGGGGTCACAGGCAGGCACCCCCAGGCCAGGCTCTGGCTTTACCTTTGACCCTTGCAGGTGCAGAGAGGCCCTGCCCCGTGACGGTGTCAGGGACTTCCTGGTTCTCTGTACATCAAAGCAGAGCTTGCTTCCTCTGCCTCCAAGCTGCTACCTACACCGGGTGGGCAGGCAGGCAGGTAGGAGGGAGAAAGATAGATGGGCTCTTTCCTGCTCAAAACTCGTCCCTGGCTCCCTGGTTCCTTGGAATAAAGCCCAAGTCCCCCTGCAGCCTGCAGGGCCCTGCCGCCCACCTGTCCCCTCCGCACCTTCCCTCCTCCCACTCCATCCTGCTCCCTCTGCTCCTCGGGCTGCACCCTGCCCCAGGGCCTTTGCATAGCCCCACCCTCCACCTGCTGCTTTCTCCATCTCAGCAAATTCCTCATTCCTCAAGGCTCAGCTCGAACATCATTTAGTCACTCAGCATACACAAGGAAAGAGGGTACCAGAGACCGGTGTCAGAGTAGGTGCGGGCCAGGCTGTTGCGGGAGCGGGGAGGGAGGCAGGGGACAGCAGGGTGCAGGGAGCCCGGGGCTGGGAGCCGGCCCTGGGGGTGCACAGAGCCTTCTTCCTTCGCCCCCCGGCGTCCCGGCTTCCACTCGTCAACACTCGCCAGAGATGGGGGAAATATTTTCTCTCCGGCTGACACTTTTGGCAAAATACAATTCCTCCAGCTTTTTTCCCTGCAAAAAACATGTCCATCAAAACCGTCCCTGGGGCGCCTGCGGGAGGAGGAGGCTGCGGGGCTGGGTCCGGGGAGGAGATGGCGGCCACCGACCTCTCTTTCTCTCTCTCTGGAGTGCGGCAAGGACAGCAAAATGGTAAGATAACAGGGGAGACAGCAGGGCAGAGGCCACGTAACGCTACCATTTTTCAGATGTGGAAGCAGAGCTCAGAGAGGGTGAGACATTTCCCCCAAGTCATACAGCAGAGCTAAGGTGTACATCCAGATCCTGTCTGACTCCCCAGGGACCCTGCAGGAGCCTCTGTCTTCCTAGCGGGCAGAGAGGGAAGAGCAACAGACTCCGCAAGGGATTGGGAGACACAGAGCTTCAGCCGGGCTCCATGTGCCTGAGCTGTGGCCAGCAGCCCTCAGTTAAATCAGCCCTCAACAGACTCTTCCACCAGTGCCTGGCTGCTCCCCGTCACATATGTAGTCCCCAAACCCCTGGGCCAGCAGGCTAAAGAGAAAGGAAATAAGAGAGAGGGGTCTGGGGACTCCTAGGGTCCCCCACTTCCTCACCCAGAGTGGGAAGGGGAGGCTGTTCCCTGCTCTTACACTCTGATCAGACCCTGAAAAATAAAATTAGACTTCTGCTGCCAGGGAGAGTGAGGCCTGGACTCCGGCACCCCTTGGTGTGTGATCAGCTCCATTATTTCCTGTCTTTGAGCCCTGGGGGGTTGCAGTAAAAACACCAGACAAATAAGGGTATCAGCAAAGGTGGCCATGGTGACTCATGCCAGCATTCTAGGAGGCTGAGGCAGGAAGATCTCAAGTTCAAACCCAGCCTGGGCAACTTAGCAAGACCCTGCCTCAAAAGAAACAAAGGCTGGGGATGTAGTTCAGTGCAAAGGCCCTAGGTTCCATCCCCCAGACCAGAAAAACAGTAGGTAGAGGGCAGTGGAAAAGAACTTGGGGTATGGCCCTAATGTACCAAGTTCAAATCCCAGCTCTGGCACTTTTCACTGTGCACGTTTACATAAATTGCTTACCCTCTCTGTGCTGCAACTTCTCTTGGTAAAGGACACGTAGACCTAAGTCCTGGCTCCCAGTTTAAAGTGCTTGTGTTAATACACAGGACAGGGACCAGCACACAGTAGGCGCTTATAAAGCAAAGCGTAAATAGATATGTGATTCCTGATCGAGTAGGGAAACCAAGGCACGCTCCTGCCTCCCTGCAGAGGGGACCAGGCGAAAGGCTGCGGCAGGACGGCTCAGCCGGGAGCCCCAGCGCGGGAAGCTGCAGAGCGCCGCGCCCCGCCGGCCTCCACACGCAGCCCGCAGCCGCATAAATCCCGCTTTACGGCCCTTATTGACGGCAGGGGGGAGGGGGCGGCCCTGGCGAGGCCCGATTAATTTTCCCGTCTGGCATCTGTGTGCTGCGCGGCTTTCTGAGCTCCCGGTGGGAGGGGCAGAGCCAACCGGGGACAGGCCAGGCTGAGGACAAGGTCGTGGGGAGACTGGGGTGTTGCAGACGCTGCGGTGGGAGCACGGCTTTGGGGAGTCCCCAGCTCAGCCCATGCCTAGAGGATGGAGCAAGAGATGCCTCTAAACTCTGAGCCGAGGATCAAGCTTCAGGTTTCAAGTCAGGATGAAAATGAGCTTCACCAAGAACACATTTGAGCCAAAACCCAAAGCAAGTGTGGCTTTGGGCAGGCCAGCTGGCCGGCCCCGGGCGCAGCTGTGCAAAGGCCCTGCGGCAGGAAAGGGCCTGGCATCACAGCAAGGAGCCTGCGAGACGGGAGCAGAGGGGGGAGGGGCAGAGAGGGCACAGGGGAGGCGGGGAGGGGACAGGCAGCCATTCAGGGCCCTGTGGGTCGCAGGAGGACTTGGGCTTTGGCCTGGGAGGTAGGAGCTATGGGTGGCTGAGGGCAGAGGAGGGAGGACAGGGCTCCGTGCTCACAGCGCCCTCTGGCGGCTGTCTGGAGAACAGCTATGGAACCCAGGGAAAAGTTGAGTTAACGAAATTCTCGCGTGCTGGCCCCTAGCTGTGAAGCAGAGGCCTCCTCACCCTGGAAGAAACACCCCGACCTGGAAGAGGCGGTGAGGGCGTCCTGTGGGCTTCCCGCCTCTCCGCCGTCTTGCACGCAGGAGCCCTGGGGACCCACAGCCCGAACTCCTCCCGCTTTCTCCACGGCCAGGGAGCGTGTGCAGCTGTGGAATTTCATGATCTTTCAAGTTTTTTTTTAAAAATTGTATCGGGGCTGGGGATTTAGCTCAGCGGCACAGCGCCTGCCTGGCAAGCGCAAGGTCGTGAGTTTGATTCCCGGTACCAGAAAACAAACAAACAAACAAAAAGAACAAATAACATTAAAAAAAAAAATTGCATCAAAGTAGCTCACGATCTACATCACCTTATCCAGGCTGGTGGCACACACCTGTCATCCCAGCTACTCAGGAGGCTGAGGCAGGAGGACTGAGCGTTCGAGGTCAGCCTTCGTATCACAGACAGCTCCCATCTCAGGTAATAATGGGGATAAGACGAATTCACCATCTTGACCTTTGCGTGCCGTATCAGAACCCAGGACCTCATGCAGGTCAGACGGCACTCTCCACCGAGCCCCACCTCAGCCCTGGTTTAACCATATTTAATGTCCAGCTCAGCAGCATCGAGGGCATCCCACGGCTGTGCACCACCCCCACTGCCCACCTCCAGACCTCTGTCATCACGCTGAGCCTGTCCCCAAGCAACACTGACTCCCGTCCCCTCCCCAGCCCAGCCCGGGGCCACCATCTGCCTCCTGTCTCTCTGGATCTGACGATGCTAGGCCTCCTGGGAGTGGGACCCTGCTGTGCCTGTCCTTCTGCATCTGGCTTGGCTCCTGAGCAGTGTCCTCAGTGTCTATCAACCCTGTAGCGGTGTCAGGATTTCCTTCCTTTTCATGGCTGCATAATATTCCGTATGCTGATGGATCATGCTGTGTTGATCTATTCACTGGCCAACAGAAACTCGATTGGTTTCTACCTGTTGGGTAGAGGGACTGAAAATGAGAAGAGGATGAATTTTCCCTTCGGTGGAATTCAGTGTCCTCTCTGGGCCAACAGATGGCATCTTGTGATCTTCCCACCATCCCAAGCATCCCATGCAGATGTGCTGTCCAGAGCAGACCCAGCCCAAAGGACAGCCAGGGAGACTCATGCACAGGATTAAGCCTCACGAGTCCATGAGAAGCTGGTGTGGACCCCACAGGCCTGGGACAAGGACCACCATCTCCGTGACTGTCCCTCAGTGGTTGGTGCTGGAAGCTTTACCTGCAGGAGACCCAGAAAAGCCACTTCCCACCCCTGGGCCCATGTGCAGCAGGCTGGGTAGTAGGTCTGGAATCTTTGCCCATTAATCGGGCTGTAAACAAGCCCAGAAGGAAATGTATCCTTGTGTATCAGCTAGCTACCACTGCGTAACAAAGGTCCCACAAGCCCAACAGCCCCAAGCATTGCTATTGCACAGGGTGTGTGTGTTGGGAATCTGGGCGTGGCTTGATTGGGTGCCTGGCTCTGAGGTTTTCCCTGGGGGAACAGTTTTGGTGTCAGCTGGGACTGTCAGCCATTCAGAGTCCAACTAGGAAGGACTGCTTGTAAACTCCCTCAGATGTTAGCAGGATACATTTTTTGGTGGCTGTAAATCTGAGGTCTCCTCAAGTTCTGGCTGATCACCAGATGGCTTCTGCTTCTAGAGTCTGCTCCTGGCCCCCATCACACTGTGGGCACTCACCAATAAGAAAGAAAAAGTGGCAAGTCTGCTAGCAAGATGGATTCCTATAGAAAGTCACAACCACGGAAGAGCTTGCTGTCCCCTCTGCCATACTCTGTTGGAGGCCTGCGAGTTATAGTTTCTGCCCATATTCGAGGGGAGGAGAGTACATGTGGAGGCAGGAGCCATGATAGCCACTTTAGGGTCTAGAGGCAAAGGAAGAACAGCTTCCAATGGCTCTTGCCCCTGATGGGTTTCTGGAAGGGAGCAAAGAAATAAAAAGAATGGAGGAAGAAGGGCTCAGAGCTAGGGAGGTTGCAAACTAGAAAGGAAGGAACTAGAAAGAAATCAAATTCCACACATATTTTTGTGTTTCCCTTTTGCCCAGTCATGCACCCCCAAAAGACCAGCCCTGGACTCCGTGTGTAGCCCAATCCTCTCTGCCTGGTATGACTTCTAGAGTGGTAGAGGAGTCTGGACAAGTCCCTCATACACTTTGGGGGTTGGGACAGATTTCCTGGGGGAGGCAATGTCTGTGCTGAACCCCAAGGGTGTGGGGGAGCTGGTAGTTTCTGGTGGGAGATCCTGCAAGGGTAGGAAGCAGGGCAGAACGCATGCTCCAGGCAGGACAGTGTGGTGATAGAAGGGAATAAAGAGACAGGTTGTCACTTTGCCTCTGGGGGGGACTGTACCCATTGTATAGATGGGGACACTGAGGCTCAGGGAGTGGAAGCTGCTTTTCAGACAGAAGAGCAGCCTCAGTTGTTCACTGGACATTTGAGGTCCTTGTGCCTAATGCCAAAACCCCCACTGTGAGCTCTGGATGAAAAACAACAGCACCAGTAACAAAGCAGCCTGGGCCAAGCATGTTTTCTCCCTAAGTGCTGTAAATGAGGGATCAGTGGGGACCAACTAAGCCCTAACACCTGCTTTATACGTTTTTTGTGTATATGACCCTGGGGATTGAACCCAGGGCCTTCATGCTGATCTACAATCCCCAGCCAGTTTTTACTTTTTATTTTGAAACAGAGTCTCACTATGTTACTAAGTTGTCCAGACTGGGCTTGATCCTGGGCGAGATCCTCCTGCCTCAGCCACCCAGAGTGCTCAAATGACAAGCACACACCATACATCCAGCTTACACTTTTACTTTATTTTATTTTATTGATTTTTTGAGACAGGGTCTCGCTATGCAGTTCAGGCTGGCCTTGAGCTCACTTTGTAGTCCAGGCTGGTCTTGAACTCGCAACGATCCTCCTGCCTCAGCCTCCCGAGGGCTGGGATTACAGGTGTGCGCCACCACGCCCAGCTTACACTTTTAAACTGTTGAAAAAAAATCAAAGAATATTTGGGAACACACGAAAGTGTTATGAAACTCACATTTCAGTACTTATAAATAAAGTCTTCATGGCACACAGCCATGCCCACCTGCTCCACGCCGTCATGGCAGACTGGACCCAAGGGCCCACTAAGCCCAAAACGTTGACTTCCTGGACCTCGAGGGAAACAGTCAGGTCAACTCCTAGCATCAGCTCCTTGAGTGACAGGCTCCTGTCTTCCTCGGTGTATACATTTGTGGAAACTGGGGCACGCAGCTAAGTGCGTTGGCCAACTTTGCAGCAGGTGAGGGTCTGAGCAAATCCGAAGTCAGGGCCCTTGCCTCGTGCCCTCATCGCCGCCGCCCGGCTCGACCGAACCCTCTGGCCCAGGCCCCCGCGTTCAGGGCCAGGAGCGGCTGAATTCAGCGTCCCGCCCACCAGCCCGGGGTCGAAAGGTCGGGGTCTGCCCCATCCGCGAGCAAACGTGTGATGCGGAGGCAGCGCGGCCACCATTGCCCGGAGCGAGCTCCGGAGTCGGCTCCACTCCCCACTCCCGGGACGGCCTGGGAGAGCTGCCAATTAACAGCAAATCAATTAAACAAACCCTGGGCCGCTGCGGCCGTGTGCTGCGCCCTCGGCCAAGAGCGAGCGGCTCACGTTCCAGCCCCGCGGTGAGGGCTCGGGCAAAAGCGCCTGTGGGCGGGCTGCGGAGGTCAAACATCTGCGCAGAGGGCGCTGAGCCAGGCCCTCGGGAGCTGAGAGGCTCGGATTCCAGAAGCTGATTCCCCTTGGGGGAGGATGAGGCGGGAAGGTGCGGTGTGGGCCAACGCTGAACCGGGCGCTATTAAAAAAAAAAAAAGTGAGCCTGTTTAGCAGAGGGTGCACGGCTCCCTGTGACCAAGAATTTGAGCAGAGCGCTGGGAAAACAAGGCTATAATTTGTTCATTTTATGTGTCAATCAAACGATGGAAGTTGCAGTTTTTTAGTCGCGTGCTATCGGAGCAATTTGATACCTGAAAAGGGAGACTGAAATACAAGCTCTCAAGAAGAATGAAAATACAAGCTCTCCCCCAGGGATTTAAAACCTGCAGCCATCTTGTTAGGGCCTTTACATGGAGCCGGAAGACAGCAGAGACTGCAGGAACCCCCGCTCCTCTCCCGAGCTCCTGGATCCAGACGTTCCTGATCCCCTATACCCTGGACTTTGTAATTCCAACCTGGGCATTTATTTATGTGTGTGGTTTCTCCAGGGTAACTAAAACCTCAGTAATCACCTCCCAAAAGCTGTAGGTGGAATGTACTTCCCTCCCTCAAGGACTTCAGGCCAGCAAGGGGGCCTGCTTTGGGCAATACAGTGGGAGCAGAAGGGACAGTGTGCCAGTTCCGAGCACTGCGGGTCTTCAGCGTGTCTTCTTGTGTTCGTGACTCATTGTGAAAGACAAATGACCCACCAGCAACTGCTAATCCAAGGAAGATGAGAAATGCATGCTGGACGCAATGCTCAGGCTAAACTGAGCCCAGCTGCCCTGGGGATGTGAGGAGGATTAGTAAACACCGTGGCTGCAGTGCCAAAGAGATTTGTGGGATGCTCGTGACGCAGCTATAGCTGACTGTAGCTAACATGACAGCATTGCCTTCTGGCTTTTGTGATTGGTTGGATCAGGTAGGGTTATTGGCTGGCTCTGACCAATAGGAAATGACTTTGATACTCGTAGCCCAGAGCATTTACTGCTAGTGAGAGAAGTCTTTCTTTACGCCCCAGAAACACAATATTCCACAATATTCCTGTACCGTCAGCCAGGGTCTTGGGATGAGACCACATGGGGCTGGGCCCTAACCTGAAAGAGCACAAGGAATTTGCAATGAGAGTGAGAAACAAATTGTTGATGTCATTCTCTTCCGAGATGTGGGGGCTGCTTGTTATTGCAGCAACATGACACCGATTCTGACTGATACAACTGCGGTGGGGATTTTGATCATTGAGACAGAGAGGTGAGAGGAAATGGTGCAGATCACACGTGATAGGAAGACTCCAGGCCCTAATCATCACATATGCTCAGCCCCTCTTTGAGGGAATTAATTTAATTTAATTTAATTCGATTTAATTTAACTTAATTTAATCGGCTTCCTACTTTCCAAGGCGCGCCAAGCAGCCCTTCAGCTGTCTGTTTTATTTCCTCCACGAATGCGACTTGAGACCACAATAGGAGCCACCTGTTACAGTCCCCAAACCTGCTCAAACCTGCCTGTTGGGATTTAAACCAACACAACCCGGCGCCTGCCCGGGGCAGGTCCTTAGGGCCACCGAGCGCCGCTTCCTGTCCCTTCTGTGACCTCTCTGCTACCACGCAGGGACCTTCGTAGCTCTGGCACCAGAACTGCCCCCTCACCCGGACCCTACCTGCTGCCAGGTTTCCTCCCACACACTTTGTGGCCACACCCCGTCCCACCAAGTGCAGAATGCAGACACCCCACCACCCTTGTCCCTTGGTCTGGTGCGAGCTTCGACTCCCACTCGTGGGTTTATGTTTTTAAAAACCCATGTTTCTTTCCTTCCTTCCATCCCTCTGCAAGACATTGTTGCCCACTTCCTATCACCCCAGCACTCAGGAGGCTGAGGCAGGAGGATCTCTGCAAGTTCAAAGTCAGCCTGGGCTACACAATGAGACTATCTCAAAAAAAAAAGAAAAGAAAGAAAAATCAGGGAGCTGGTGTCCAGCATCTCCCCAACACCCCTGCCCTTCAGCCGATGGCTCCGGGAAGGAACGTGTTTGGTAAAAACCTAATCACGCCCGCCCTCCCGCACATCGGCATCAAAATGACTGCCGAGGCCTTGAGTCGGGGTAATTAAGAGCATTTTGGGACGCCTTTGCTTGATTAAAAGCAGATCATCCGTTCAGAATGGAAATTCAGGAGGCAAATTGCTTTTGTTGCCACTACGATGCTATTTTAAACCCGCGTGGCTCTTACACTAATAAAGCCCGTTGCTGTCACTCGAGCTGTCAGGGTGCGGGACGGCGCATCTGCGTGGCGGCCACCGCTGTTTACCGCCGGCGCCCCAACCCCCCCCCCGCGCCCACGCCAGACCTCAGGGACCGGCAGGGCCCGAGAGACAGCGGGGCCTGTGGCCTCAGTGTGCCCCCAGGGATGCCCCGTGTCTGCCCGGGCCCTGGACCCTCGGCTCAGGCACCAACCCCGCCTCCCGCCGCTGCCCCGGGTGTGCGTCTGCTCCCCAACCTCTGCCGCCCAGCTGCGCCGCCGCCAGCCTCCCCGCCCCCGGGGGCCGCCGCCTCTGCCCCGCCCCAGTCCTTGCAGGTTCGTCCAGTCTGGACCCCGGCGGCCTCTGGCTTCCCCGGGCTA